GTGGAGGTTGACGATGAGGGAATAGGGACGAAGGGGGGAGGAAATGGGCTGCTGTTGGTGACTTGGTGGGTTTAGGGGCATCGCTGATGGCGCAACCACTCCCAAAAACTCCTTCCCACCGTCGAAAAATCAGTGGTTTCGTGGAGGGGTTTAATAGGTGGTTTCGTGGGGAATGGGGGATGTTTTGGGGAGGGAGGAAGACGACGACACGGTGGAGGATGTTTTGCGTGGCTCGCAGGCGAGAAAGGGGCGGTAGGCTGGGCAGTTGGGTGGTGGTTAAGGAGGTCTAGTGGGGGAAGGCAAGGCTGATCGGTGGTTTGGGGATTTTTGGGTTTTTTTTTTCTTTTAAAAATAAAATTAATTTTTTTTAATCAATAAGGGCTTGACATATGTCAAGTGACTTGATATGATTGGTCATTGACTTTTGTTGACCGGTTAGGGATTGAAGAAAAAGAAGAACCCCCAAAGTTCGGATTATTCCAAAATAATTCAAAGTTGGGATTATTCTAGCAAAATTGATGAAAGTTGGGATTATTATTTCTAATTTTTCCTTCATAATATAAACTTTTTATAGCTTTTATAAATATATAATAAAAGATATCGACGGTCAAATATATACATCGACAAGCGTGTCAAGTTAAGTCAAAATGTTGCAAATAAACTGGGATAGAGGGTGTGCCTTGTTTTTAAGTGTACCTCAGTTACTTTATCATTCTCTCTCCTCTCCTAGTATCCTTAAAATATGTGCCTAAATTGAATGGGTCAATTAAATGGAAACAAAGGAAGTACAGAGTATTACTCTTTTTTTTTACAAGATAGGGCTTATATACTCTATATATATAGTGAAGTTGAAAAAATAAGGCTTTGAATTCTAGAAGGACCAAAATTGTAACAAACAGATCGTGAACTAATCAACTTTACTCAAAACTTAAATGAGCATGAGTCACACTAGGGGTGTTATTGAGTTTAGCGAGTGGTGAGCATGCATCGTGCACAAGTTAAAAGTTTTCGGATCAAGTTGAGCACCCTTTAGCTTGTGATTAACTCGCTCGAATAGCATACATTTTGGGATAAAGGGGCATCTTCAAGCACACACCCCGCCATTAGCGGCCGGCCAATTCGATGTGAACGTACACAACACAACGCAACTCTTTGTGTACATCAAAACAATTTGGCACACCTTTCTAACAATTTCCTTATAACTTAACGTAACACGTCGATATTTTGCCCTCTTAATATTGCAACTGCAACTTGATTTGGGAAATGACGTGATTCAAACTTTTGCTTGTCGTTCGATGTCTTGAACTATAAAGAGTAGATCAATATTAGGCAAAAAGAAAGTTAGAAAGAATTATGTGTTACACTTGTCTAAACTCCTACCTCAATTATTTATTTTTAACCACAACCCCCTCCAAAATATAAAATATATTGGATTCTTAGTGAAGGAAAATGTGACATGTATATGAATAACAAATGCGAACTACAATTAAATTAAAATGATTTTGTTTTTAATAGTCAATAATTAAGTGAAAGTGACTAAAAAAAAAAATTACAAATACATCGAACAAACACGTATTTACAACAATAAGAAATTCGTCTGCCTATCACATCATGAAAACTCAGAATTTGCTTTAATTAACTTCCACTTACAAGTAACAAACACCCCCTAATATCCAAATACAGTAATGAGCAAGCAGTTCCTTTTCTAAGTAATATAGGAGCATGCCCCCATTTATCTCCTCGATTAACAAACCATGTATATCCCATGGCATAGTCGTAAATAAGTCCTGAAATCTGAATAAAAAATTATTAATTGTACAAAAGCAACTTGCAAAATCAGAAAAAGTAGGCCTGCCATGTCATATACGAAAAGTAACGTCTGTTACATTCGAATTGACGATGTTGGGTTAAATTAACCCATGGTTAGAAGATGATAGTACTTTTCAGTTTATTTTTTCCCCTTTTTTCTGCAAACACACTGAAAAGGTGAGTGAAATTGAGAGGTTCAACAATGGCGACGCTCATTTTTTTTTCAGCTTGTGCGTGTTTGTAACTCTTGTAAGTTGGAATATGGACTTTTAATTTTTTCAGTCAACTCACCACACCTTCCCACCAGCTGAAAATGGAGGGGAATAAAAAAAAGCATCTGAAACCATCTCGTATTAATGTCGGAGATTTGCACTAACAAAACATAGCACTCATCTATTAATCATATTCAAAACTTCAAAAGAGATAGATGAGTGCTATGTTTCAGATGTGTCAAAGTTACACCAACAAAAATTATACAGAAGCTAATGAAGATTCGGTACCCGTTCACTCCCGATTTCCAGAAGTTAACAGTTCACAAATTTGTGCATCCCTTCTTGAAAGCTCCGTGAAACTTTGGTGATAATGGAAGGTCAAAGTGAATTATAGAAGAGCGTCAAGAGGTGGGTTTGTCGGAGAAACGCGGTGGGTGGAGAGAGAATGATGGAGGTTTACGGTGATTGATGATGAATTGATGACAATGGACATTGGGTTAGTTTAACCCAAGGTTACCTAGGCGTGGATAAATGTTAGTGTATTGTCAAGTGGTATAAAACTTACTTTCCGACTTTACCCCTGCTTTTGCAACGCAAAATTACGAAATTAGGGCTGGATAAACACTTTATCTAGGAGATAAACTTGAATTCTCTAATCTAGGCTTATCTATATAATATATTCATTGAATTTTGATTCTTTTAGCCAATTTCTAGTTCAATCAGTTCTTTTTCTCCTTGTCTATAATGACCCACCATTTGATAAATATCTTTAGGTTTTTCAATCATTTTACGAGTATATATATATTTTTTAAGATCTCTCCCATTTTAAAGCACTCCAGAGTACAAATGAGGATTTATGTAAACTAGATTATAATTTTGAAACTTACTTGAATTGTAATTTGTATTGTTATTATATATTTATATTGTATTACTTATTTATATAAAATTAAATACATTTAAGAAAGGAACTTGAAGCATTCAGAGAAAGTACACTTATTTTTACGACTAACTTATAAGTTTAGCTACTGAGTTAATTAACAGGTCAACTATTACTAATTAGTTTTTAAGTTGATTTCAGGACAGAACAATGTTGTAATCATATGCACTCAGACTCTCTTATGGCTTAAGTAAGTGCATGCAAGTCCAATAACATACATATCATTGAGAAATTAGGAAGATTTCATATTACCACATTATTTATTTAGCTTTGATGTCCTAAGTCAAAAATAAGAACTCATCAGAGAATCATATAGGTTTTTTTTTTTTTTTTTTTTGAGGACTGAATCATAGAGGTTTATATTAAGTAATATCATATAGGTATCTTTATCTTTATTATTTCTCGTCTTAATATAGCCCTTCTTCTTGCATATATACTTAAAAATAAATCGACACAGGCTAATCCAATTTTAGTCACTGAGTATGATGTCCCATGTTAGACAATTTCTCTTGACTAGGTCCCTCTTATAAGAAATTTATAAACATGTCAACTAGATGTGACTCCTAAAGTATAATGTACTAAGCAAGAAGCATGAATTATTCCTATCAATCCAAATAAAAAGAAGCTTCAAATTTGATCTTGCCCCGACTTGGTCCCATGCATGACTGTACACAAAGATACTACTATTATATTTTCAATTAGTCACTTTTATAATCGGCCACTTGCTTAATTGCATCATTTTAAGAATATGATGAAACAAAGGAATTAAATATTGTTTCAAAAAAAAAAAACAAAGGGAAATATTAAATATCTTCTCTTCTATAACTTGCACAATATTGACTTAGGGCATGTTCACATTTACTTAATTTCAGTTCAGTTCAGCTCTAATCAGTTCAGTTCAGTTCAGTTCAACTCCAATCAGTTCAGTTCAGTTCAGCTCTTAATTTCCCTCTCTCATAAAATATTTATTTCAACTCAATTCAATTCAGTTCAGTTCAGCTCTAATCAGTTCAGTTCAGCTCCAATCAGTTCAGTTTAGTTCAGTTCAGCTCCTATCAGTTCAGTTCAACTCAGTTCAGTAAATGTGAACAGACCCTTAACTCTATTCAATATTTAAATTAATATAAGCAATGGATACAGGTTAAATTTGCATGAAGGTCCAATTGGGACATTATTGTGTGACTTCACTTTTGATGCTTATCACAATTTGTTAGAAGTATTCCTTGGAAATTTAGAATTCTACTATAAATGACAATTGAGAATGAAATTTACTTTGTGTGTCATTGTTATTGTTAGAAAAAGTTAATCAATACAAGAGGCTACTCAAAGTAAGCCTATACTCAACACGGATATGAAAGAAACAAGGTACATAGAGGAATAACATTTTAGCTCAACTATAAGTGTTAGATGTTCATCTATGTTTAACTTATATGTGAGAGATACCGGTTTAAAATGATCCTTCTCCTTACTAGTTACTACGTTGTACACCTTGGAGCGATATCTGTATTTTCCAAAGACTCCAATCAATATAACACCAAACTACCAAGAATTGAAGGCCCATATTCTACTTTAAAATTAGAAGAGAGTACATTATTCCAGATATTACTTTCTTTTTTTTTTTTTTTTTTACAATTACTTTATAGTTATCTGAAGTATCATGCACCAAATGCCTAACTTGTCCCACAATTTATAAAGTATTATATTATATATGTGTCAATCATGTCATACAATTAGTAACATGATATCATGAAATAAATTATTTTGATTGTGGATAACAAATTACTCCATCCTTCACATCATTTCATGAATTAAGTTATTTTGATTACGGAAAATACATTACTCCATCAGTCTTTCAAATATTGCATAAATTTAAATAAAAATGACGAAACTGACATCTGTGACATAGGTGAATGATTCAGTATTAAAATCCATACATTGCCTAAAAGCACCATCACCATCATGACTAAAAGATAACACTAATCTAATGAATTCACAAGAACAAGCTAATCTAACAAGCTTATAACTCAGTATTAAACATGAAATGCAGAGAGAAGTCGCGATCAATCTCACCGACCCAAGAGCCGTGTAGACTGAATCAAAATTGATTCCAAAAACACAACTAGATATTATATATGAACAATATCTCAGCATAGTTTGAAAATAAGCAGAATAATGTGATGAACTGAGGACCACATTCCCTACAGATTTTAGTACCTTCCAATTTCGTCGTCTGAAGCATAGTTGTATAAACCATATGGAATCTCAAGACTAGATAGTACAAGAAAGGATTCGGAATCTATTCACAAACAGGCAGCAAGATCTTTATACCAAAAGTAATTGGATCAAGCTTAAAAAGTAATACTATAAAACAGAAATTTACTAAACCATTTACTGTCTGACTTCAGAAACAGACTTCATATTGAACTGATGAAGAGAACCTTTTTAAAGACCTTCATGGTAACCACCAATGGTTATGTGAGCTCGAGTTACAGGAGCACCTCTCATCACGGTGATGGCTTCGTTTAGCTTGGTGGCTTGGCGAACTACTTGCTTGAACCTCTGAACGAAACCAAGACAATCTATATCAGTGGGATACCCAAGAATAGTTCTCCAATCTTATATGTAATACACAAGATTGAAACAATGATAACAAAGAAACAACCATTACAGAGGATTGGATTTCAATCATGGCAAGGGAAGTTTATCATTGTCCTGCCGATTGGACTAAATGGTTCAATCACTTTGATCTTATGGGAACTAAATGCGCCACTAGTATGATCTCAAAGTTATGAATGTGTTACAATGACATCTTCAGTACAGAACAAATTACAAATTCTTTTATCCTATGCAAAAAATCACAAATTGCAAGAATTTATTCCCTATTGCAACTTCTTCAATCAATAAGTGCTTAATTTCTTTTAATATCATTTTGTAGACTAACATAGCAAAATCATGAACATAAACTTGAACTCAATAAGTGCATAAAAACCAAAATTTAAGAGACAACACATTTTATTAAACGCCAACTAATTAGCCAAGACCTGAAATTAAATCCCGTCTAGTGTTATACGAGTAATAGTGATCAAGAGAGGCAAACTGAATAAGTGCATAAAACCACAAACACATTTCACATAAACATTAAATGCTGACTAATTAGCCAAGACTTGAGATCAAAACCCGTCTACAATTATACGAGTAGTAGCAATCAAGAGAGGCAAAGGTTAAGGGTTCACCTTGTCATGGGCATAAAGTTGGAAATGAAGTTCTTGCTTCTTGGAAGTCTCCTTGTGTCGGTTACCTAAAACAATGAAAGAAACAGTAGCAGCAGCAAAACCAAAAGAGAAAAGGGCACCAATTCCAGTCATTGCCAATTTCCAAACATTCAAACCTTCTTCATTTCCATTTTCATGATCATTCTCCTCTTTTTTCATAGATAATTCATGTTCTTTTTCTTCAATTTTTTCAAAATTATTACTTTTATTTCTCTCAATTTCCTCAAATTGATAAGAACCCACATCAATTTGAGGCAATATTCCTCTGTTTAAAGACTTGGGAGAGTCCATTTTCATGTCGACAAATTCATTTTCCTTCAATTTCTTGAAGAAAACTTGAGAAACTGGTTCCTGAAAATCAGCTTCTTCTCCTTTGATCATCTGATTTTCATCAGATTTTTTTGGGGTTTCATCAATTGGTAACTTGATTACCTCTTCTGGGATTTCCTCAATTTTTTTATCCAATTGAATTGGCACAGGAATTACCCTTGAATTCTTCATCTTCTTCATTTCTGGCTCAGTAAATTTCTGAAAATAATTCATATCAATTACAGTTGTACTTGATTTGGGAACAAAATTATTTGCTCCATTATTTTCATGAAAATCAATCAAGCCTTCGTCAGAAAGAAGATCCCATTCTTCAAGATCCATTTTTTAAAATTTTATTGAAGAGAAAAAACAAGAAATTTGATCATATAATTCAAAGAAATGAAATCAAGGAATAATTAATTTTGATGGGGTTTTTGGGTGTTGAATTATAAGGGTAATAATTTGATCAAGAGAAGAGAAGTTTCTCATTGGAGTGTAGTGTGGAGTTTTAGTGTAACAAGGCTACTCCATTGGGGAAGGAAAGATTGGACCCTTCTGTTAACTTCTAATGCTTTTGGCCCTTTGTTTGTGTAGGAGAAGATTCAATCAAAGTATAGTAGGAATTTATTTTTCTTTGGAGTGCTTATCTTTACCAAAAGATAGGCATTAGAAGGTGGTCCAATAGGGTCCCAATCGGTTATGAAATCACTCTATGACTCACCCCTTTGATGGCTTTCCTATTTCTTTTGCTTGGATTATTGAAAAAAATTAAACTAGTTTACATGTCATCATGTCGATAATTAAGTATCATAAACTTTTAATTAAATCGGATGTACAATAAAATATTATACATTCGTTAAAAACTTATTCTAAAATGAGCTAAATTTGATAAAAGTAACCCCCAATGTATAGTAAATTACTGTACATCGGATGTATACAAAAGTTACTCTATTTCTTTACATTTTATTTTCACCCATTAATTTTATTTTTTTTATTTTTTTATTTTTGTATTATTATTACTCCCTCTAATCCTCTATCCCCCACCTGTTCTTCCCAAAATTCAAACCTAGCTGACAATGCCTTAGAGGGGTAGGGGTTGAGATTTGTTGCTGATGAGGATCAAACCTCGCACCTCGAGGATGCGAGGCGAGTCCTAAACTCATCTCCATCCTCACAACATATTTATCGCCATTTCTAACTCCATCCCCGCGGCGAGTCCTACACCATTTCCATCCCTTTTTGCACCCTAATTGCATTTTTTCCAAAAATTTTATGTCCTAACATTAGTAGAAAAAACCAAATGAGCATTGGTTCAAAACCAGCTTTGCGCACCGATTTTCAACCGGTGCTTATTTGGGGGATGCGAATAACTAAAACTATTCGCATCGGTTTAAAACCGGTGGGAATAATATACAAGAGCGCCGATTAACTGGTGCACATGTATATGGTTATTAGCACTAACTGGTGCCTTTAATGCCTAAATTATTATTTTTATTATTTTTTATTTTTTATTTTTTATTTTTTTGCTTTTTTCACATGAGTTTATCAGCAGACTATTATATATACACATAATATACTTGAAACTCATAATTTTCATTAATAGCCTATAATTTTACGTTTGCAAAGAAGTATACATTTGATTATACATTCACAATAACAAGACCAACAACAACTTCCTACATTTATCCCAAAAAAAACTTCCTACAATCACTAATAGAACAGCAGCAACCCAGTAGAGGAACAACAACATCACAATAGCTAAACAACATCAGCACTGAAGCAGCAACATAGAATGAAGATAGGGAAATGCAGTGTCCATTGTAGCAGAATTCTGTCAGATTCCCATTCCTAGGTTCTCTCTCTAACCATATCCCATACTGCAAGCCACAACAACCTGCCATACATATGTAATAAACTGTTTAGAGTATGCACTACTTGGTTTAATGTGTGACTTTCCATTTTTTACATCCTTCTAAACCATAAAACACGCATTCAAAGAACTAGAATTACATTCTAATAGCCAACAATAATGCAAGTACTTCTACAAGAAGGGCATAAAGCATTATATTACCTCCATCTTAATATAATAAGCCACATCTAATAACTTATAAGGAGCCTATTGCTTGATATGTCCAAATTAGTGTTTTACCCCCGTCCCATGGTCATAATTAGTAGTGTTTTTGGCTCTTTAAGGCCACTTTTGTTACTGTTTTGGGTGTTTTTGTCCCTCGGGAGAGTTACAACACGAAGACTGATCCGGCGTGAGCTGTACCTGCAAAGCAAACGCAGACACCGGTTGGGTGGTGCTCCGCCTCCGACGAACAAGTTAGTAACTTGAAGGGAGAGAAAAAGGTGCGGAAATTTAGGTGGGTATCAGCTCGGATTCCAAGCTCAGATGTCTCTATCACAGGGACAGTGTGTAATAAATGGTAAAACGTGCCCTCCAAAAGAGGGAAATCTCCCTATTTATAGGGTCCTCGGGATTTGTGCCCCTGATTAGGTCACTGATCCCTAATCATTGGTGGGCTGCGCCGCATTGCGGCTTTCTCGGGATTTAGGCCTGAGAGCCGCCATTTTCCCCCTAATATCTGGAGTGACACGTGTCAGGCAGGGATTTGTCCACCTTGGGCCATCCTGGAGCTGACACGTGTCATCCTCTGATTGGACCACATGGCGGGGTAAAATTACCCTAAACATTTGCCCCTCACAGATGTGACGTGGCACGCCACGTGGCATCTATGACACGCGTCACGCTTCGATTGGTGGTAATTTTACCATCAAAGAGTAACCGTTCTCCTTCCGAGTAAATTACGGGAATGCCCCCACATTTACCCTCTATATATAGCCGTTTACCCTCATAATTTTGTACGTTTACAAAAATTTTCTAGAGAAACAACTTTGAGAGAGCAGAATTCATCCGTTTGAGTCAGGCGCAAGCAAGAAAGCTCGTTCTTCGTCAACCCAGCCGGACCTGTCTATCTTCAGATATCAAATCCAAAGGTATCGTCTCTGCCTCTCTCAGCTCTTTTTCTTGTTTCACCGCTTGTACATATTTCTTGCAATAAATGGATGCATCACCAACACACACGGCACAACCTAGGTTAGAATCTAGCCGGTCACCAGGGACGGCTGAGTCTAGGACTGGGGGTGTCGTCTCGGGGTGTTGGGACCACCCTTTGGGCTTGGATTCCGACCATTTATGTGTCTGTGCAGGACACAATGGCTCGGTCTATGCAGACGGCCCCCGATCCGGACTACAGAAGCGAGGGCTCAGGCGGCCAAACGCCTGAGGGAGAAACGTCTGGTCAGAGAAACCAGACGGCTTTGGAGAGATCCCCTCCGCGTGCCCCTTCAACTCCCGCAGATTCCTTTTTGGAAGAATGCGACCAAGGCGGCGATGAAGCCGTCTCAGCTCCTTTGCCACAAAATGAGGAGGAGACGGAGAGCGACAGCTCCGCCTCCACTTCTGAGAGCAGTGACGACTTGCCCCCACTTGAGAATAGCGAGGAGGTGGAGAGGAAGAAGTGGAGCGAGAAGGACGACCCCTTCAAAATTCACGTCTCCGCCAAGGACAGGGTTCAAATGGAGGAGAACTTGAAGAACTTTACACAAATGCACCCGTTAGGAGACGGGTACAGAATCAGAGTGCCGCCTGAGGATGACACCATCGTCTGGGAGGACGATCAACAGAACGCCAACAACTACTTCGGCTGTTATGAGGCGACGTTCAAGGTCGGTCTTCGCTTTCCCCTTCACCAGGCGGTGAAGGAAATCTTGAGAGGCTACGGCCTCAGAGTATGGCAATTTACCCCCAATTCTTGGGCAAACATTTTGGGGTATGTTGCCGCCTGCGAGTTCCAAGGGCTCTATCCCGGCTGGGAGGCTTTTGCTAAGATTCATTATCTTAGCCGAAGCCCAGGCGGCTGGAGGGCGTGGTACACTTTAACCACGCATCCCCAGTACATGATGACCTTGGACAAGGTCTCTAAGTTTGACGGCTGGAAGCACAGGTTCTACTTGATGTCAGCTCTCAGCAGGCGAGAAAACTATAAATTCCGCCAATACAATAAGAAGCCCGACCTGATGGGCCGGAAGTGCGCTCTTCCCCGGATCCCGGATGAGGATTTTGACAAAATCATTGAGGCGGACATTTTCTGCCTCACAGACGCGTCCTTGTCAACCGGGGAAACAATAAAAGTCCCCAAGAACTGGATCCCCAAGAGCGCCTGGTTCAGGGACGAGTGTTTCCTAGCCGCCTGCGGGCTAGGACACATGTTTACCAAACGTATGCGCCTGAGTTTACATCCGCCTGTAGTGCTTTTGTATCAGAATTGATTGATGACATTGACCAATATTTTTCTTTTTTGCAGAAGAAGCTCTAAACATGCTGCAGACAGAGAAGGCACCCAGGCGGTCCTCTGCAACCATCCGCAAGGAGCTTGCGGAAAAACAGGCGGCCGCAGTCAAGGCCAAGGTAAAAAACGCTTGACCCTTTCTTAGATTGGCCTCAAAGTTTACTTTCTCCGGATGCTAACTTTAACTTGGTTATTTTCACAGGGGGGAGAGGTAGGAAGGACGTTTGAGAAAAATCTCAAACGGGCTAGGGAGGCACCCACCTCCATTCTCAACAAGACAAAAAAATCCACCTCCGCCTCAACTCCTGGCGCCTCAGCCGGGAACCAACAGATGCGGATAGGGGGGGCGAAATGAGAGGGTAGGTGGCAGTCTGGGCCTCGACCTTGTCAACTCCCTATCAGCAACCGGGGGGTTCACCACTTTTGCAAGCGGCTCCAGCTTGGCCGGCTCTGAAGGTAAGAACCCTTTTGAATCCCCGCCCGAGCTGGGGTGGCCTTTGCGAGTGAAATCCCACTCCCAATAGACGTCATCCTCAGATGGTCGGCAACAGATAGGTGCTGCCCTAATTTCGCACTCATCACCTATTGATTATGGTGCAGATCAATCTCCCCGCTAGCCAGACGTCCAGAAGCATGCTAAAGCCATGCTAGAGGCGGTGAGCAAGAGAGACAAGAACGCTATCCCTGGGATAGAGACGTTCAACCTGGAACGAATCTTGTCTCTTCTGGCTGAGGTAAGAGACTTAACAAATTTTTCTTTTATTTTTTCCAAGTGCGTTACCCCGCCTGCAATACTTATGTTGTTTGCTTTTTTGCAGGCTATGCTGCGAGTAGAAGGGCTCAAGCGTCCTTATTCCCGCAAACGAGAAGAGGTAAAAAGGGCCAAGAAGTCCGCCACAGACACTGATAATGTTGCTTTATACTCCACTATCGTAAATGAACTTGAAACTAAAGCAATCATAATGACACAGGCGTAAAAAATCCAAGAGTTGGAGGCGGATCTGAAAACGGCCAACCAGCGGGTGAGTGACGCTGAGACGGCTCAGAAGAAGGCGGAGGAGGCCCAGAAAAAGGTGGATGAGAGCTTCAAGAAGGCTGACGAGGCGCTCAAGAAGGCCCAGGCGGACCTTGGCACACTCCAAGGTGTTTCTGAAGAGAACACCAACTTGAAAACCAAGGTTGAGAGGCTGGAGAAGGAGGTTGCTCAGGCTCAGACAAACTTTGCAGCAACTCTGGAGGCGGAGCAAAACCGCCTGGTTGCTGAAAGTGATGCTGACAACG